AGGCTGAGTCAACCCTGAGCCGGTGAGATTTGAACCGCTGACCTGCTGATCTAGCAGTAGCCTGCAGTGCTGCATTTAACCACTGCGCCACCTTTGCTTCTCTGTATATACAGAGAAGCAAACATACACAATAGACAGACAGACGGATCAGAGGTGTCAAACTCAGGGCAATGTGGGTGGACCGTGTGTCATAATGGAAATAGTAAGGGTCCAGCCCACATCAATTTGGCCCAGCCTGAATTCCTGGATTCCTTCCGCAACACCGCGCAGTCCATGGAATTGATGTCAAGCTGGCTATACCCCTCAGACCACACCCAGTCGGTCATGACCGTCACAGCAATACCCCACCCCCACAACAAAATTGAGTTTGACATCCTTGAGATAGACGATAGATTGACAGATAGACAATAGATGCAAAGAACCTTCTGCAATTACAGATATGCATGATATAAACACTTATAGCAATTACTTCAATATCTAGAATTCTGATAAGCAACACATGCACATTAATCATTCCAGAGCAAAAATCTTTATTAAATGCAGATGTGAAAACTAAAAACAGCTGCTGTATTCCTTTACAGAAGTTACCCTAAGAGTTTGTATAGTCATCAATTGCCTGGGACGTAGAACTAGGAAACAGTTTATAGAAATGTTTTTCATAGAAGACAACACAAATAAACACAATTAATCAGCTCTTAAGACTTCACAAAACAATAGCCTCCCTAATCATTGATATCATTGGTTTTTTAATGTTTTTTTTCTGACCTAACATTTATAGCTAATTTTGGATCTACAGCAGTGGTGGGTTCTGCATCCCGTCGCAACCAGTATTCTGCAACAAGGCCCAGCGTCCACCACGTGCACATGCGCTGTGCACGCATGTGCACTCCCAGCCCGTGATGCTCCAGCTGCTCAGCGGAGCCTTGCTCCATGCATGTGCATAAATATGGCCCAGTTGGGTAAAATGTAGGTAAGGAGGGTGGGCAGATGGGTCTTCCGATGCACTGTACCGGAACGGTACCTGGTGCTCCCAGCAGGTACTGGTACACCCATACCGGGGTGTACCAGCCGTAATGCACCACTGATCTACAATAACTTCAAAACTTTTTGCAGAGTAATGCTGTAAACAAATATCTATCCTACACAGATCTACGTATTTCTCTAAAAATCTGTGCTACATAAATTATAACTTACAGATAAATATATGTCATATTTTTGATACACTTTTTTGTCTCCCAAAAGTGGGTGGAAATGTCTGGGGGTCTTATGGAACAAATATTGTATCACAGACCGGGCCTATTGCCGCCACAGCGTATCACTGCCACTTGACGACCATGCCTATCAGTAGTTGGATTGGTCTCCCGGAATACCTCTGATTAGCTGTTCCAGGCATCAGGGACTGCCACCACCTATCACCACCGCTGTTGGAATTCATTCTGGATGTTTGCGTGCAGGACAGCTTCGGCTGTCTGAAACACACATACACAGGGATGCAAAAACATTGCCTAACGGTCATAACTCACTATGCAGCCTTTTGTAACAAGAACTGTGTGAGCCTACTCCCACACATGCCCTTCCTCCCCCCCTATGCTGTGCTATAG